GGTGGTGGGAGAAGGAAGCGTCAGCCCAATCAAGAACGCGCCTTGGGATCAAGTCATGCTTCACACGGTAAGCTTTCTCATTTCCAAGTTCCGACCTTCAAGTTAAAAAAGAGTGATCTTTTGTATAACTAGTTTTGTTTTGGCTGAGATGAGATAAAGATAAGATGGAAATTGGGGCTGCATGCTTCATTTATATGTATGACGTCCTAATTTTTTAGCACTTCATGAACTTCACTTGGTACTTGCTATTGATGTCCTGGTGGCACCGCAAGGCTGATAAACATGCATAAATTAGTATTAAGATCGTTCACCGCCGCAGAATTATAAATACACGAGAAGATGTTACACCTAGTTTAGCTATAAACCCATCCGACTCTACGGGGTATAGTGTCGAAGGTCTCTATCACGTCCTCGCAAGCTGACCAGTCTTTTCATGGGCCAAAAACCTGCACTCACGCAACAATATCAGTTGTTGTACTTTGGTACCAAGGTTTACACTGTTTTTAACTTTGATACCCCAGCGTTTTTTTCCTTCTTTTTTGACCCTTTGATACTCGTAAGTTTTAAGCCTTTTCTAACTTTGGTACCCCAAAGTTTTTCCTGACACTTTGTACCCCAAAGTTTACACCTTTTTAAACTTCTGTTTTGACACTTTGATTCAATGGTATCCCAAAGTTTGAGGTATCATAGTTAGAAAATGTGTTAGGGTATCAAATTTAATATAAAAGTGTGTAAATTTTGGGGTTGTTGAGAAATTACGCAAATTCCCCTATAACCAGATTTATGAGAAAACGAAATAAATGTGGAATAATAAGACACGCAAATTTAACGTGGTTCGGCACAAAATTGCCTATGCCCACGGGCTGCTGCAGATCTTTGGCTAAGGGGAGAAAATTTACAAACACTCATAAATACTCGCAACCAAATTTCACTCTGAAAATTACTCTCAATTTTCTCTCACTAAGTGCTGCCTCTTAATTTTTCTCACTGAGTGCTATCACTCAATTTTCTCACTAAGTGCTCTCTCTGATTTTTCTCTCACTTAAATTGATGCCCAACACTCTCTCTCGGATGCTTCATACACATTTCTTTTCTCTCTTTGTCAACAAAAGATGCTCATCCTTTCCCCTTTTTTGTTTTCTTGCTCCTTCGGTGGCTTGATTTTGTTGACAAAAAACAAGGCAGCCACAATTTTTTGGTGGCTTTCGGTGTGTGAATATTTGACCAACAATCTCCCACTTGAAGACTGATTTTAATTTGTCTTCACATCTCGATCTATGCAACACCTCTTCCCTGGTCTTGATACTATTGCAGGCCAACTGAAGTTGAACACAACTTCAGTTTGTCAGTAGTCACCGTCTTTGTCAGCATGTCTGTCGGATTTTGAGCTTCATTGATCTTTTCAAGTTTTAAAATTATCTTCCAGAAGTGACCGGATAAAATGATACCGCATCTGTATGTGCTTCGTTCTGAAATGAAAAGACGGATTTTTCGCTAGATGAATAGCACTTTGACTATCGCAATATAAGATATTGTCTTCTTGTTTCTTGCCTAATTCATCCAAAAAACTTCGAAGCTAAACCATTTCTTTGCCGGCTTCTATAACAGCGACATTCTGCTTCAGTTATGGAGAGAGCAACTATCTTTTACAATTGAGAAACCCAACTCACTGCAGTGCCTCCTAGAGTATAGACATACCCTGTAGTGTTCTTTCTGATATTAACATTTCTTGCTAAATCAACATCCATATAACCTATTAGCATTGTATCTTCACCTTTGAAACAAAGTGCTTTATCTGTGGTGTCCCGTAGATATCTGGGGAGCCATTTGACTGCTTCCCAGTGTACCTTGTCCAGATTATTCATGTACCTGCTAACAACTCCTACTGTTTGAGCAATATCTGGTCTTGTACAAATCATGATATACATCAAACTTCTAATTGCTGAGGCGTACGGGACCTTCGCTATGTGTGCAAGCTCTTCCTCTGTCTTTGGTGACTGCTCTTTGGAAAGTCTGAAATGAACACCTAAATGTGTACTCACTGGTTTAACATCTTGCATATTGAACCTGAAGAGTACTTTGTTAATGTACTCATCCTGTGATAACATCAAAGTTCTAGACTTAGTGTCTCTCTTGATCCTCATTCCAAGACTTCGTGTCTGTTTTGCAGCGTCAAGATCTTTCATTATGAACTATTTTGACAATTTTTGCTTCAAATTTATAATCTATTACAGATCTGAACCTGCAGCGAGCATGTCATCAACGTATAACAATAAAATAATAAAGCTATTGTCAAACTTTTTGAGATAGCAACAATGATCTGCTTGGCATCTAGTAAAATCGTTGTTGCCCATAAAGTTGTCAAACTTCTTGTACCATTGCCTGGGAGTTTGTTTTAATCCATACAAGCTCTTCTTCAAACAACATACTAGATTTTTCTTGCCTGTCTTTATGAAGCCTTATGGTTGCTTCATATAGATTTCCTCCTCTAAATCATCATGAAGGAAAGCTGTTTTTACATCTAACTGCTCAAGATGTAAATTCTCAGCAGCTATAATTTTCAACACCAGTCTGATTGTAGTCAGTTTCACGATCGGAGAGAAAATTTTATTGTAGTTAATACCTTCCTTTTGCCGAAAGTCTTTAACAACCAATCTTGCCTTGTAGCGTTTGTTTCCATCATGCTCTTCTTTGATTCTGTAAATCCACTTGTTATGAAGAGCTTTCTTACCTGGTGGTAATTTAGCTAAGTCTCACGTCTGATTTGACATAAGCGATCCCATCTCATCTTGCATAGCAGACTCCCACTTGACTGAATCCTCCACTTGCATTGTTTCATCATAACACTCCGGTTCACCATTGTCAATCAGCAACAAGTAGTACAAAGAAGGCAAATAACACTAGATTGGCTTAGGAATTCTGGAGGAGCGTCTCACTCCTAGCGTACTTGGTTCTTCTTGAACTACTTCAGGATTAGTATGAACATCATTTTCAGAAATCTCCTCAAATTCAGCAAATTCTTTTATTTCAGCTTTTGTACTGGAGCTACTTGATTCTGTAATTGATTTGTCTTTATACATCACATTCTTATTAAATATGACATCTCTGTTTCTGATGATCTTTCGATTTTCATAATCTCAAAATCGGTAACCAAACTCATCACACAATAACCAACAAAAACACATTTGTTAGATTTGGCATCAAGTTTACTTCTTTCAGCAGAATTTATGTGTATATAAGAGATACAACCAAAAACTCTTAAATGCGAAAGGTTTACCTCTTTTCTGCTCCAAGCTTCTTTCGGTATTCCACCATCCAAGGGAACTAATGACCCACGGTTGATTAGGTAGCTTGCGATATTGATAGCTTCAACCTATAGGAACTTGGGCAAACCGGCATGTAACCTCATGCTTCTGGCATGTTCATTCAAAGTTCTGTTCATGCGTTCCGCTACACCATTCTGTTGCGGTGTCATGGGAACTATTTTCTCCATCTTGATCCCGTTATTTGCGCAAAATTCTTTTAATCTACTATCTTTGTACTCTTTTCCATTGTCTGACCTCAACCGTTTTATCTTCAAACCAGTTTTATTTTCCACCATAGCCTTCCATTTTCTGAAGGTATCAAAGACTTCTGATTTCTTCTTCAGAAAATAGACCAACACCTTCATTGTAGAATCATTAATGAAGGTGACATAGTACAGTGAGTCTGTAAGAGATGGAACTAGAGATGGCCCCTATATGTCGGTATGAACCAACTTTAACTTTTCTGTCTTGGGTGTCTTTTTAATTTTTGCAAAACTGATTTTTTTTTGTTTGTCAAAGATGCAATTCTCGCATAGGCCGATATCTACGTTCTTCAGATCCGGCAGCTTCCCTTTTGATAAAAGTGTCTTCATCCCTTTCTCACTCATATGTCCAAGCCTTTTGTGCTATAGGTTTGATTTTTCATCTGTATCTGTTACTGTAATAATATTCTCTAAGTTAGAGGTTACATAGAGAGTACCACTTTTCTTACCTCGAGCAATGATAAGTGCTCCTTTGGTAATCTTTCATTCATGACATGAGAATGTTGTACAGTAATCCTCTCCATTAAGCTGTCCCACAGAGATCAAATTCCGTTTAAGGTTAGGATTATGTCTCACTCCTTGCAGCTTTCATGTGGTCTGATTTGATAATTTTAATCGGATGTCTTCCTTGCCAACGATCTTCAAGGTTTTATCATTTGCTAGATGTACCTTTCCGAAATCACCGCTGACGTAGTTCTCCATGATTTTTCGATATATGGTGGCATGGAAGGATGCCCCTGAATCAAGAATTCATGATTCAATTGGACAGTTGACGCTTAGAATCATAGCATCACCTCCTTCCTTGGTCACGTTGGCAGATTCCTGTGTGCCGATATTTTTCTTCGGTGTCCAACACTCCCTCTTGAAATGACCCTTGTCATAATTATAGCAGTTGAAATCTTTCTTTTCCGATCTAGATTTGCTCCTTCTAGATTTTGATCTGTTGCGATTTGAACTTCTTTCTGAAGTTCTCCCCTAGATTCCGTGTGTAAGGCTGAGGAGATTGATGCTTCACCTGATTCTCTCCGTCGGATTTCTTTACTAAGAACCAGATCACGAACATCATCAAATTTTAACTTATTGCTTCCCGATGAGCTACTCACAGCTGTGACGGTAGCATTCTAACTTTCTGGTAGAGAAGACAAAAGTATTAATGCTCGTACTTCTTCATCAAACTCAATTCCAATTGAACTCAATAGGGTTGTGATTGTATTGAGTTCATTGAGATGTTGAGCTATCGATGCGTCTTCTGTTATCCGTAAATTGAACAACCGTCTCATCAAGTAAACTTTGTTTGAGGCAGAGAGCTTCTCATACATGCTGCAGAGAGCCGCCATAAGATCCGTCGTGGTCTTTTCCTTTGCTATGTTGAAAACAACATTGCGGGATAACGTTAATCGGATAACTCCAAGGGCTTGTCTGTCGAGAAGAGCCCACGCTTCATCCTTCATGTCATCTGGCTTATTTTCTAAGAGAAGTTGATACAGCTTCTTCTGGTA